TATCTTAAATCAGTCCTGTCCAAGTAGGGGAATTCACTCTTGGAGAATTCACTCCTTCAAGTAAAATGGGACGGTTCCAACTACCATCTTTCCGAGGAGACAATATCGCTAGGAAAGACGGAGAGATGGTAGTCGGAACGGTCCCATTTTACTTGAAGGATCAGCGTTGGAAGGGGACCAAAAACATGTCTTCCAGGAGTGGATTCCCCTACTTGGACAGGTCTGTCTTAAATGATTGAAAACTGAAAGATCGTAGAAATGTCTATAGGAGAAAGTGAAATAGAAAAATTTAGGGATGGCATGTGAGTGAGGGGTGAGTGGCGACGAGGCGAAGAGAAACGCAAGCGGGCCTTAGATATCCAGGTTGTCATAATCAAACGCACAGTGTGGTTTAATTAAATGAATTTTCATCATTAGCTAGAAAATGAATTTCTAAAATGATAGAGAAAAACCACACTGTGACCGCAGACACACACTCATACAACCGGATGGATACATAGAATTTTGTTGGACAGGGTGTTTAAGCTCTCTCGAGTGGCTCGAGAGGATCCGCCTCAGAACGAAAACTTACATAGTCCTCCTACCTTGGAGGTCTTGGCGTAGGTCGCTGCAGCTCTTCCCGGCTTTCGCATTAGCCTGGCCGACGTTAGTTCGATGTCGCATGGTGGCGGATGTACCGGTTACCACGGGACCAGGCCCAGGACTCGGGGTACGCGACGCGGATGGCAGCCCAAGGAGGGAGTCAAGGACGTCCTCCAGGGTCGTGGAACCGGGGCTCGGTTTGTTCCGCAGAAGAGCTGCCGTCGCCATTGCCTCGTCCGTATCGCTCTGGCCCGATCCTAATCGGTTTCATGCAGGGGTCAAGAAAGAGACAGAGACGTCTGTGTCATCCTCTTCAAACGTCCAAAGTGTAATCGTCATTTTAGGAATCGTAGGAATCGTCCGTTTCGTCTTGTTTCGTTGAGTTTTATCATCATGGTTAATAGTATTAATTAATTCTCTAAGTGGCAACAAATTCAATATGCTTTTTGCTATTCAGAAGGATAGATAATTATTTTAGAGAGATACTTTGGATGGGTTGTTGCAATAAATTTGATTTAATTTATGAATAATATTAACCGTGATAATTACAGCTGTGAGAGTCATCAGGGTTTTATTTAATTTATTTCGTCTTATGGTGTTCTGTGGTCGTGTTCGGTGTTCGATTTTGGTATACTCTTAACCCTTTAAGTGCCATGGATGGATACATATTGATTCTAATAAATTTAGAATTAATTATTTGATAATTAAAAATGTTTTTTGTAATATTTTGTTGCATGAAATTGATTCTGTAAGTCAGAATAGTGAGATTTAGGGGTAGAAACTATCGGGATATCATTCTGGGAAGCGGTCGGTAAATTATTTTGGATCAGCGCCAAGTAATTAATATAATTAGAAAAAAAAGGTGTGATAAAGTTCTAAGTGTTGTTAATATTGCTTTCATTAATACGTACATGCCACTATAATCATATTTTTAATGTAGTAACAATAAATAGTAAATAAATAAACGCATAAATTGTTGCTTAGAAGGACTTAGAATACAAATTCAAGTTTTAAATCTGCCGGATCTCGCGCCTGAATTAAAAATTAGATCAGCGCCATCTAGCGGAATGTACACCGAACTAACGATTTCTAATAGGAGAGCAGAATGTGCAAGGAGGTCTACCAGGAGGTAGACTATGCACACTCATGGAAAAATCATTAATAACTCTTTTTCTAGGAACAATTTATGAACTTTTATGATTGATGCTTAAAGTATAGGCTTGTAGCTACTTTCACATATAAGTTTTGTTAAGATCCAGCCAGTAATTAATTAATTATAACAGTTTTAAGATCGACCGCTCGATCCGCGCTTACTTCAGGTAGGGATCTTTCTCGATTTTCTGCTTTCCGGTGATCGATTTCCGTACTTCAACGATTAAAGAATAAAGAATAGTATCCTAGCTTTCTTCTAGCATCGGTTTTACGAGCCTCCTATGAGTAATTAATTAATTATTAGCAATTTTAGATGCACCGTGCGATAAAAACTGTGACGCGGTATAGGTTTTTCATTATTTTCTCGTTTCTCGTGTTCAATTTCTGCAGTCTAATGATTAAAGAATCAATTTTAGTGTATTAGCTACTTTCACATACAAGTTTTGTAAAGATCAAGCCAGTAATTAATTAATTATAACAATTTTAAGTTCGACCGCTAGGACTGCATGTACTCCCGGTCGGGATTTTCGATAGTTTTCTAGTTTCCGGTGATTAATTTCTGTGTTTTAATCATTAAAGAATGGAGTGTGAAGTACTAGCTATTTTCTAGTACAGGTTTTGTGGATATTCTATGCTTAATTAATTCGTTATTAGCGTTTTAAGAGCAACCGCGCGATGAAAATCAGCATCCGGTAGAGATTTTCATTGAAATTCTCGTTTGTCGTTACTAATTCTTATACTTTAAGAATTGGAGAATAAAGCCTGAAGTTATAGTTACGTTCTACCATAACTTTTGTTAACAATTGGCGTCAGAATAATTAGTTATTAACAGTTTTTCGAGTGAGCGTCCCTGTAGTTCGAGACCGACGTTTCTATATTTGCTCATATTTAATTAATTACTGACAAAATCCTAACGAATCTTATATGTGAAAGTTGCTACGGGTATGTACTTTAATAATAAATTATAAAAGTTCATAAATTGTTTGCAGGAAATGAGTAATTAATGATTCTTTTCTAGAAACTTTGAAGACTAACTTTCTTTCCTGCTCTCCTGATCAACAGCGCCATCTAGCGGACGATGGAGGAACTAACTACCCAAAAAAGTTAGGTCGCTACACGCATAGAGAAATATCATTAATTACTCATTTTCTGCAAACAATTTATGAACTTTTATAATTTATTCTTAAAGTACATACTCGTAGCAATTTTCACATATAAGTTTCGCCAGGATTCTGCCAGTAATTGATTGAATATCAGCAATTATATGAATGGCGGCATCGAGCTACAGGAGCGATCACTCCAAAAATCGCTAATAACTAATTAATTACTTACAGAAGGCTCGTAAAACCAATGTTAGAAGAAAGCTAGGATCCTATTCTTTATTCCTTAATCGTTGAAGTATGGAAATTGATCACCGGAAAGCAGAAAATCGGGAAAATCCCTACCTGAAGTAAGCGCGGATCGAGTGGTCGATGTTAAAACTGTTATAATTAATTAATTACTGGCTGGATCTTAACAAAACTTATATGTGAAAGTAGCTAATACGCTAAAATTGATTCTTTAATCATTAGACTGCAGAAATTGAACACGAAAAACGAGAAAATAATGAAAAACCTATACCGCGTCACGGTTTTTATCGCACGGTGCATCTAAAATTGCTAATAATTAATTAATTACTCATAGGAGGCTGGTAAAACCGATGTTAGAAGAAAGCTAGGATACTATTCTTTATTCTTTAATCGTTGAAGTGCGGAAATCGATCACCGGAAAGCAGAAAATCGAGGAAGATACCTACCTGAAGTAAGCGCGGATCAAGTGGACGATCTTAAAACTGTTATAATTAATTAATTACTGGCTGGATCTTAACAAAACTTATATGTGAAAGTAGCTACAAGCCTGTACTTTAAGTATCAATCATAAAAGTTCATAAATTGTTCCTAGAAAAAGAGTTATTAATGATTTTTCCATAGGTGTGCATAGTCTACCTCCTGGTAGACCTCCTCGCACATTCTGCTCTCCTATTAGAAATCAGTAGTTCGGTGCACTTTCCGCTAGATGGCGCTGATCTAATTTTTAATTCAGGCGCGAGATCCGGCAGATTTAAAACTTGAATTTGTATTGTAATGCCTTCTAAGCAACATTTTATGCGTTTATTTATTTATTATTTATCTTTATTATATTAAAAATATGATCATCGTAGCATGTACGTGTTAATGAAAGCAATATTAAGAATACTTAAAACTTTATCAGACCTTTTTCTTTTAATTATATTAATTAATTTGGATCTAATAATCTTTTGTTTATATTTTCGTATAAACCAAGTAATTGCTTTTAATTAAATTTCATTAATTCCTTTTCTCTAAAAACAAAATAATAAATGTACATGTACTTACGTAAATGTTAAACAACGGATACTTAAATAATTCTGAATTTATTTCTAATCTCCACTTAAAGGGTTAATTCTGTTGATGCCTAAGAAATAAGACTAAGAAAAAGAAAAACAGGAGAAAGAAAAAGTAAAGAGTGTTGAAGGAACAGGATGTGGAAAGGTAATTAGAGACGCCCTCGATTTTTCTTCACCTCTCATCTACTTTTCTACGATTATTCTACGTGTACAGTCTACTTGCACTGTCTACTGTCATAGATACTACTATCGGATGCTATTCTACTTCTAGCGTGCGCTTTCTTCCTCGTCGAGACTCGGGAAAGCGCAAGGAGGCAAATTAAAAAAAAAAAAAAAATAAGAAGATAAAAACAAAGAAAAAGGTGAGTACGAAGCGGAAAAAAAAGGACGAGCCTTTCTTTGAAAGCCCTTTTTGGTCGTTCAGACGACAACCTTCGTTCTCTGTCCGGCCGGATGGAACAGCGAAAAAGAGTTTTATCGTTTCACGCTCTATTTCCGGCTGAAAATATTAGAGCAGCGACGCGTCGCAAATCATGGGGGATCGAGAGGATGGTGTAGGAAATGTGAGAACAAGCAACGGCCGAAATAAGACCGTTAAAGAAAGAGAAAGAATAAGAAAGAAAATGAACGAAAAGGCGAAAGCGATAGCGACGAAACAAATACAGCACTTACCGTGACGACAAAAGCGAAACCGCGTCATCATTAATTAAAGTAATCAATATTACGCACATTTACGCGTGTACGGATCATAATAAATTTCTACATCGATACAGGAAAAAGGGAATAAAGGAATGATAAATCAAAAGTGATAAAGAAAAATAGCAAAGAAACTTAAGAGGTTATGGACGCAACAAACGCAAAATGTAATGACAATAATTTATTGTAGTCAAGGGTAAATTACGCAATTCTACAAAGAAATGATAAATCGTTGGCGTTTTCTCCGAACAATAAGTACGGAATCACTTAAGAAAGGCAAAGAAAAATAATAATAAAGCACCGGCGCGCAGAACCATCCGCTACGATTGAAACAGAGAAACTTCCTTAAAAATAGGGAGAGAGAAAAGAAGAAAAATTATAATATAATCCAATGCAAACTAAATACATTAACAGTGGATGCGATTCTTACAATTTGATGAAGAAAAAAAAAAAATATCAATATACAAATGCAAAGAGGAGGAGCATAAAGAAATAATGATGTAAATTTTTTGTTTTTTAAATTGCCTGTGTTTATACCGACGGTTCTGCGAACGCTGCACTCGTAATTAAAAGAGTAACGATAATAATGACATAATAATAATTAATGGTAATTAATAATAATAATAATAATATCAACGCGTTTTGCAAGTAATAATGAACGGCGTATACGAATCATACGTACGTATACATATATGTACCTATCAAATTATATATAATATATATATGTGTATGTATATAACGAGCTAGCTAATAGGTATCAATGTAAACGTGGACAACTTTACAATAAACATACATGAACGCAAGAAAAGTAATTGCTACTGGTAAAAGTAAAGGGGTAGAGACTAATCTGAGACACGGGGCATTTCCCCCCACAGAAAAAAAAAAAAATAGACACTTGTGTTCGTGTGAGTTCTCTGTGTATAACAATGATAATCGTGTAGAGAGCAAAATAGGGGGAAAAAAAATAAAATAAAAAGAAAAAATGTGGGAGAGGATAAGGGACGTGTATATTCGTGAAGCAATAAGAGGGGGTGGTTTTTCTTCCAACGACGAGGGGCGATCGTAACAAAGTAACAAAGTCAACTACAAAATTATTCGCGTGACAAAATAATAAAAAGAAGAGAATAATCTTGGCGTAAAAACGAACGAGGCTCGTATAAAGTCTGCCAGGGAACCCGTCCACACGATCGCATCTCCTCGAGATGAAACGGCTCGAAGGGGTTGCCTGTGGAATGACGCGGACCACGTCGACGAGAATCCATTGAAATTTAATATTAATAACATTGATTTACAATTGCGAGCCTCAGGCTATCGGATGCATCGATAAACATTATTCTTAAACGAATTTCTTTGCACATGGTTGTTACAAGAGACTCTGCTTTCCTTATAAAACGATTTGAATTGTACATTGAAATTTAATACATACTTTTTACACGATACTTTCTCTTTTAATGCTTCCAAGTAAACGCTTTCCCATAGTCAATGCAAATCTAATATACAGAAATTAGAGCTTCCAAGTTATTTACAATGTTAGGCTGGAAATCTCTTAATTACTGGGAAATTATAATTAATTTTGCCTCTAATTAACATCTCCTCATTTTACAATGTTTGCCAATGTATTCGCAAGCTTTAGTTTCATTTTATCGTTGGATTCATCGTCGACGTACCTCGGTGAATTTCACAAAATAGCAAAACGTGTACGAAAAGGGTGGACTTCCAGCTTCGAGTTACCCTGATCTGTGTGTTTCTTTAGGCGTGTAATGTTTCAATTTCATCACGGTTACGAACAACGTGGCATTTTATTCGGATATTCAAGCAACGATATAATACACGTTGTTTAAAAACACGTTCGCGGGTTTACAGGCTGACGAAAACGATAAACGAAAGATAGAAAATATACGAAATGATAATCCAGGTGGGCGTAGCAGTGCAATCAAGAAAATTAATGTACAGTCGATGACCTCAGAAGCACGTATACTGTCAAGCTTTTTCATTGCTTAATATTTAATAGATCTGTTACCCCTTTTGCTTTCTATTTTTCAAAGGATTAATCTCATAAGCATTGCACCCTTCGATATTCGACTCCCTAGGACCTTATAATATTTCTAATTAAATTCTTCTCTTCTAACTATAATTTATACATAAATATATATGTAAAAAATGAAGCAAAATTACGCTTCGTATGGTTTATAATTGAAGTTTCAGAGCTCGGTCCTAGGAGTATTAGTTTCAAAGAAATTTATAAACTTTCTATGAGCAATTTACACGTTAAAGCTAGTTCGTTGTCTCTCTTACTCATCCACGACAAAACTGCTGGAGAAACATTGCAATTTCTTCTCGTTAAACTATTAATCGCTTCATTATCGAGCCTCGGGAAACGAACAACCGTCCGACTTAACGCTACGAACGCGATAATTGCACTTGCATAATTAATTATCACTAGATCCTACCTCTACTATAAAATTGATCCAAAAATATCTATCATTAAACACCGGACTCTTAACAGGCACGATAGTTATACGAATAATTATCCAACATCTTTAACGATACCCAGAAAAATATAAACAATTCAATTTTATCGTCGTCTGATCTTTAGTGACAAGAAAGGGAAGCGACCGAGTGTGCAAAAATTGCGTGACAAGGTAAAAAATAGTGCAGAAGCTGGCGTAAAAGGAGAAAACGAATGGGAATATGGTGCTTCCACATGGTTTCCATCGACAATCCTTCCAGTAACATTCTCGCGTGGCTCGTAGAAAAATAGAAAACATCTGAGCGTTGGGAAATTATTTACAAGAGGACGAGAGAACGTTTACTTTCCCAAATATAAAACGAGATTCCTTCGCGCCTGTGATTTTCCAATCGACCCGAGGAGTCACGTGCGTGATCGTTCGATCACGACTTGCGAATTCGGCAACGATCCGAGCCAAAACACGATCCACGTTGGATCATTCGTCGACGTAATCGAGCAGACGAGTCTCTGAAACCACGTCAGAGAAAACTCTTCCAAGAAAACCGTTCGCTACTCCCTGCCAACTTCGGAATTTAACCAATAGAAGTCAGAAGATACAAGTACTCTATCCGTCAATATTCATCATTTTCTGAAACTGCAACGCAAGTTGAATTCTGAAGCACAATTTTTCTAGATTCTCCACTGTATACTTGCCCTCCACAGATGCTACGGTTACTCTATGTACACTGGATTACAGCTGGAGGATGATCAACAGGCCAGTGAATGGCACCAGAAGCTCTCAAATAATATCACCAGCGATAACAACGTTTCTGATATGTCTTACAGCTCTCTGAACACCTGTCGAACCAGAAGAATCATCATTTACTCTCTAAGAATTCTTTACAAAGCTTTATCCCTCTCTAAACTGGATCCTAAGCTTCCATCCTCGTTTCAGCAACGAATTCCTAATAACTCTGAACAGCTATCCACCTGCTCGAGCTTCTCTGCCAGGATCAACGAAGGAGCTTCTAAGTTGCAAGATCATCGGCTACACGATAGTAACGCGAATCGTCTTCGTCAGCTGTGATCGTGTAAGCCCGAGGCGAACGTGTTTGCTGCAATTTTCGCGAGGGGTATTATAACCGTGTTCTTGTTTCGTTTTGTACGTGTTCTGCTTTTCCGCTAGGCGAGCAGCAACTCACCGCGGTGTTGACGCTGTTGTTGTTGTTGCTGCTGCTGCTGTTGCTGTTGTTGCTGATGATGAAGCTGACGATGATGAGACGAATGATGATGATGGTGATGGTGATGATGATGGTAACCGAGCGACGAGGACGGCGATGGACATAGACTTCCACCGCCGCCGCCTAACTGCTGTTGTTGCTGGTTATCGTCGCGTGTCGGCGTCAGATCCAAGAACAGACCGGAAGTAGCCGAGTCGATGCAGGTGCAGGACTCGTTACCGGTCGCGTTGCATCCGGGACAGCATTCGGTATCCGTCGCCAGGCTCATCGGCGTCTCCGGCGAGTCGACGGGTCTCGTGCCGACGAACGAGCTCTCCATCCAACACAGCTTCACGCTCCCTTCGAGGACAAGTTGAATTTCATTAGGGGATAGAGATCAGCAAAGAAGCCGGCTGCAGCTGCCACTGCTCGCTGACTTATCTTTCGCGTTAACGAGGACAAAACTCTACTTCCATCTATGTAATAATGATCCTCCTCGTTTGTTCGCGAATGAAATAGAAAAAAAAGAAAAATAAAAAATAAAATAAAAAAAGAAAGGAACAAACGCTTTTTGGTTAAACACGCGTGCTCTCGTTCGGGTTCTTAGTTAGCAGCGTTTTTGTGTTGACAAGACCGCAATCTCTGATTAGTGGAGAAGCTCTAAACACGGAAATATTAATTACAACGCAAACAAAGCTGACAAACACGACACACACACACACACACACACACACACACACACACGGTTATTGACAGACAGGTTCGATGATCGTTACTCTCTTCGGGATCGATGGATCTTTGGATGATCGTAAGAGCAGCTAACTACATCCACGTGTTATCCTCGCGTACTGTTCTTCTCTTTCTCTCTCGATGTTTGTTTTAATTTTGTCACTAAGGTCAACCGAGTGGCGGGGTAAGTTCGCTCGCACCGAAAAGCGTCGGAGACACGAGAGGGGTGATTCAAACTTCAGGGTAATCTATTTCGGGGCCAACACGTCCACGCTGCTACAAGGCTATCGAAATAGTAACCAGTCGCCTCTGCATACTTTCGGCGAGACTTTTCGGTGATTAAAGATCAACGTTGGACTAAGGTGGCCACGGCTGCTAGCGGAGATCCTTCGTGATTCTAGCCCTTCCTTCAACCACCACGATTATTTCTCTTCTCATTTCTTGTCCGACCTTGTTAATCCATATTCCAGAATTTAATGCCAAGGCAGTTGCCTAATACATTTGGGGAATTTTTTTCGACCGTCCAGAGCGACTGCCACGTTCTAACACTTCTCACGTTTATTAACAGCGACTGTCAGATTCTCAGAAAATTCTAATCTACGATAGTCCAACAGAGTTTCAGGGATTGCAAGAAGATCAGCATCCTCTGTACAAATTTTCATCCATGATATAAGAGAAGAAATCAACGACGTTTCAAATACTGAAGCATTGCGTTCGCTGAAACGAACGAGCAAGGATGCTGGGTCACGCTTTTCAAAGCGATTCTCGTTAGTAGACAAAAAGACGAACGGAAGTGGTGCTCTGAGCAGTTGGTAGTGACATAGACGAGTGAAAAATAATGTTACAAACATTCCTTCTGGTCTAACGGTGAACCAGATACAGACAAAACATATACAGACAGTCAGACAGGCAGGTAGACAGAATAAGAAGAAGAAGAAGAAGAGTGAGGTGTCTAAGTCGCAGAATATAGATGCAGAGGCAACGAGAAACACATCAAGACGGAAAACTCAAAATTACCTTTGTCGTGAAGAGTAAAAGTGGTGATGGTTGTAGTGGTGGTGGTGGTGGGATGTAATATTTTACTTTTTTTTTTTTACTTTTTTTTTGGCAGGGGTTGTTTAGTGCTCACCTCTGGGGCTGGTCGACCTTGCTCCACCCCTGTCGTCCCAGTCTTCAGGTCGAGGTCGAGGCGACAGCCTGCCACCTCCACCAACCTCCTGACCGCTTTGCACGTAGTGCACAATGGCCGAGGTTACCTCCTTTATCGAGTTCCTTACCTCTAGCTGCTGATTCGTTGTCTGCTGTTGTTGTTGCTGTTGCTGCTGCTGCTGCTGCTGAAACAGACGACAGAGTTTTAATATTCTCATTCGATTATCTCGTTCACTGGACAGAGATTAACCCTTTCAGGAGGATTCTTAATCTTCCATGGAGTATTATTAATTTAAATCAAGAATTTAACGCAATAAGTACAGAATTATATTATAAATTACTATAACAACTTCAAAGGGTTAATTTGAAGAACCTCGAGGGGGTTTTGGCAAATTAAATGACCGCGAAACGAGAAGGGACAGGGTTTCGGCAGGGTTGACATTTTTTCGTAATTCGCAGGTAATTAAAAAATCTGTGGAGGGGCGATTTAACCTTAGAGAAGGGCGAGCATCGGGTAACAGTCAATTTGTCTCGGGTTCCAAAGGCCACGAGACGCCGGCATGGCTGTTTTATGCCAGAATGTATAATTATAGAAACGTCGCCGCGTTTCTGCGCTGTCTGCGTAAATTAAAAATAAATTTCAAACAAAGAGGAAGTCGAAGAAGACGGCGAGCCTGGGCCGGAATTTATTCTTCAAATTAATGAAAATATCAAAGGCGTTCTACGATTTTACAATTTTTTCATTTTACGATACGAACCTTGTTTGCTGCTTGCAACTGAGGAAGAATACCCTGAGCAAGACGTTCCGCCGGTGTTCGAGGATTCGTCAATCGTTCCTGCGAACGCCAGCCCAAGTACGGCTGTCGATGGTTGAACGACGACCTCGCCGAACTCGCTGGCGAACTTCCGGCACTGTTCAGCAAGCTGGTGCTCCATCTCGAAAATACAGGCGGCGTGGGACTCGGACTTAGAAGAGCACCTTTATGAAATCATTAGAAAAAAGAAGATATTACTTCCAAGCATCGACAAGATATGCAGCGGCAGCTCTCGATCCGAGGTAAAGAGTGAAGTACCACGGTGGCGCAGAGTACTTAAAGGGTTAAGTAAAGCTTAACCCTTCTAGATTTAATTAACACAGACATACTGGAAGCTACTTTTCGTTACGACCTTGCATCCCTTTCCTAGTTTCCAACGAATTAACCAAGCTTAGTTAACCCCCAGGATGGCGGACCAGGGAGAGAGGCGGAATTTTAATTCAATTTCGCCTTTCTATATTTTACAATATTCCTTGTAAATTATTCCTCCGATATATCAATATTTTCTATTCTTCAAATTTGTTCTAATTAACAGAAAATTTTGTACAATAATGAATGAAATGGCAATTAAAGTTTTAAGCGGTAGCGTACGAGATTACAAAGCCTCGAACTGGGGATTAAATTAGGATTGTTCCTCCTCTTGTTGGAAGCATCCTCGAACATTTTCGAGCCACCCTAAGAGACAACCCTTTCGCAAAGGATGCGACGACGTAGATCGGTTCGACGCGTTCTCTGTGAGACGGCGGCTCGCAGGGAAGCGAATTAATCGAATTAACTTGCCCTGCTAAATTTATTAGCCGCTTCCTACCGGCCATTACTCGCCGTAGCCAGAGAATATCCGTGACTGTGTCGCACGCCGAGAAACGGAGACGCGCGTAAATGAAATTGGCCGACGCTGTGCGCTAATTTCGGACGCTCCGCCACTTTTTACCAGGATGAAAGCCGTCGGCGTAATAGTTGCCTCGATATTACGCCGAACGGTTGAATAATTTCATAAACAATTAAGAGAAGATTGTGAATATTATCTTTTTTTTTTAATTATTTTTATGCCATCTCTCGAATGAAGTGAAATAAATAATATTAAATTTACCTGTAGTCGGCTGTCTATTGGAAGACGACGAAAGGGAGGATAGGGAAGTGGTTTTCGAGCCCAAAGCACGCCAGCCTCCGTGCTGCGACGCATCGGAGTGCCTCTTTAACCGGAAACCATCGCGAGCCGCGGGAGAATTCTTGTACCAATCCGGGACGTTCAGTCTCTGAAGAGATCTTTGAACTCTGAGCTCGTGTTCACTCGGCACTCGTTCGCCAACCTTCTGCAACTCGTTCTCCGGCGGCTGTAACATTGAAAACATCAATTTCATTAGAAAAAATGCAATTAATTATGTCTGACACGATTTGAAAAATTTATATTCGACCCAAGTTTATTTTCCAGAGAGAATCATGAAAAGGTAGATTATTCCCAGTAATTTCTTCAATTATTCCTCGCAAAACACCCGGTTAAACATATCCCATACATTAAACGTGAGAACCGCGTTGTGCTGCTTCTGACTTCCACGTTATGCAATTCGCGGGGAAAATTTAACGGCATAATCAGCGGGTATCGATGAGATTCCATTCTCTCGTAATTAATTAGGTGAACAATATATAAATTTCGTCTATAATCTTATCAATGAAAAAATAAAAGGCAAATGGTTTAACATCGAGCTGATATTCCTATTGATATTCAAACGATCAGAGTAAACAAGCTGGCAGAATATTAAATCGTTAATTAATAAACATATTAAACGCGTAGAACACGTAGATGAACGGAACATAGCAATGGACAAATGACGATAAAGAAATAACGAGGCCGTGTGAAATACTTCAAGTGGACTCATTGGAAACCGCTCGTTCCGAGACAATAACCGCTTAAATCGTTTTCCAATGTCACAGAGAGCTGGCACGTTGTAAAACAGACGGAAAATGATCGATCAATTTTCCCGTCGAAACGCGAAGGCGGTACTCGTAGGATGCGGATTGCTTGTGTCGAAGGCTAAATGAAAGCCTCAGGAAAATCATTGACCGTACCCGTGTGTAGGATGCTCGTGAAAGTCAAGTAATTTTAACTCGTTCAGCCAGTACTTTTCTTTTTTTTTTTTCCTCTCTCGTTGATGAGGGGATATTACACTACTGGTAAAAAGTTTCAAATCACCTAATTTTATTGCTGTCGTACACTACTCAAGACGTTAATGGTTATAGTGAAAATGGATATTTTTTGGTATAAGATATATTGCAATTCCAATTATTAAAAATAAAATTTTTTATTGGGAATATTGGTACTTGAAAATTGGTAATTGGAAATTAGTAATATTGGTCACTGATAATACTGACAATTGGTAATAGGAAATTAGTGATATTGGTCATTGATAATGCTGACAATTGGTAATTGGAAATTAGTAATATTGGTCACTGATAATACTGACAATTGGTAATTGGAAATTAGTGATACTGGTCACTGATAATACTGACAATTGGTGATTGGAAATTAGTGATATTGGTCACTGATAATACTGACAATTGGTAATTGGAAATTAGTGATACTGGTCACTGATAATACTGACAATTGGTAACTGGAAATTAGTGATATTGGTCATTGATAATACTGACAATTGGTAATTGGAAATTAGTGATACTGGTCACTGATAATACTGACAATTGGTAATTGGAAATTAGTGATATTGGTCCCTGATAATATCACCAATTAATAACATCAATAAATTATAATATTGGTAAACTATCGGTAGTTTTCTAAGTCCTCTATAAAAAAAGTACTGTAAATGATAGAACAAAGAGTAATTAAAGAAAAAAAATTCAGACGAGAGTCAGTATTTACGTTGATGAATTACGACTAGGAGAGGCTCGACGAACGGAAGTCCATCTTTTACAGGATGTCCAAATTTAGCGGCTGGTTTACGTTCACGGGATGGAGATTTCTGTTAGTTTGCGATACAGCTGCAAAAACAGCTTTCCTTTACTACAAACATTCGTTTACGTTAGTGTCTAGGTTACTATCTTTTCGCAGCTTTTGAAAACGACCGATACCTGTTTTTATATTAAAATTCAAGAGACGATCTGAAATTTATAATCGATGATATACGGTACAAACCTGCAACGCGAAATCTTCGATACACTTTTTCAACATGATTCGTCGTTGCGTCAAATAAATTTGCAATTGATCTAAATCGATCGATCTAACCTCGATTCTAACGGTGAAAATTGACATACGATTAATCGTACGTGGTAATTGAATGAAAATATTCGATTCACGATAATTCAGTGAGAAATTTCATTTAATTGCTTCAAATCAGATTTTTATTTAAACATGTTCATTTACACCGAGGCAATCGATTGATGTTAATATAATATTAAAAGTATACATGCTAATATACAGGGTGACCCACATAACTCTTAACAGCTCAATATCTTAAAAACTATGACATCGATTTTAAACTTCTTGGTCTTAAATTGCATGGATCTGAAGGGCCTTTCTAACTACATAAACATAATGAAGTGGTCCACCCTTTTCCTCTAATGGGGGACGGGGGTACCTTCATAATTTTAAATGGAATCCCCTATAAAACGTTACATATTTAGATTCTACAGGAAAAAACAAGTAAATTTTGTCTGAAACATTTTTTTGTCAGATATTTCCACGATGAGATTATACGTCCTATTTTCAAAATGCTATTTTTTCAGGTATTTCGCCGAAACTATTTCTGAAACCTATCAGGAACTATAGAACTATTGCGGGTGCAAATAGAACTGTTGCTAAAAGTTTTGTGTTTTGAAAATGAGGTTCTAATTTCACAAACGCAATTCAATGACGCTATTTCCGAGCGCTTCAAGTAAGTATCTACAAGTCGAAACTTTAAACTGTTATAATCTCATCATGGAAATATCTGACAAAAAAATGTTTCAGACAAAATTTAATTGTTTTTTCCTATAAAATCTAAATATCTAACGTTTTATAAGGGGTTCCATTTAAGATTATAAAGGTACCTCTGCCCCCCATTAAAGAAGAATGGGGGGCCCACTTCATGTTTAAGTAGTTAGAAAGGCCCTTCAGATCCATGCAATTTAAGACCAAGAACTTTAAAATCGATGTCATAGTTTTCGAGATATTGAGCTGTTAAGAATTATGCGGGCCACCCTGTATAAAAGTATAAAAGACAAACGATGAAGAGAGTTGATCGAACCTGCACTGACTCCACACGATGCCATTGTCTGTACGCGAGGAAATGCATAACGATGAGCAGCAAAGGTTCGCGTGAGATTTCCATATGGCATACAAAGATGCTAACGGTACCTAACGCGATGGAAAAACAAAGGATAGACACATAGGAACGCGTGGCTTGGCCTACGCACGTTCTGTTCCTTTGGTTATTAACGTTCCAACAACGGTTCGCCATATGCTCGGTGTTCATGAGAACGTAGCTTCGTCGAATAGCAAAAAGTTCAGGCTGAAAGTCGTCGAAAGAAACCAAACCGAGTGGAAACCTCGGTCAGAAGAATTTTCTACACTTTCTATCATTCGTATCTTTGGAATAAAAATATTTCTACTTATCATAGTCCTTAATTCAAGAAATGCGGGCGAAAGAAACAGCGGAGCTCTCGAATGATTAAACAAGATGAATTTGAAAAATTTCACGCGAAAATACGAGATAAGTGCATCGTTCTCGAGAAACAGGGTCAAGGCGAGACAGGAAGACAGAAACGAGTTTACGTGGACGTAAGAGGGCTCTCTTTCGGATGATGTAGATAGAAAGGGTTACTGCATCGGTTGATTGGATCGATTTTTACCGGGACTTCGGGTTCACTGATGAAATTTCTCGTACCATTAGAAAACGTCCATTTATAAACCACATGTACGTCCATTAAGACGCTTGATACAATGACTAGAAAATGTACGAGATCGTTTTACATCGTAGCTAGAGAGACGTTAAGAAACGCAGTGTCCATCACGCCCACGCGTGACATTTTGCAAAATAACTCGAGGTATTTATTTCAATAAAAATCACTCGAGTAATCTTCGCGATTGATTTACAGACACCGATTATGGTATTTATATTGCTATATTTAACAAGGGGAACTATCCAAGTGTTACACTCACTTATTAATGAAACTTTGCCAGCTTGTAGAGCTCGTCGAGCTGAACACGCCTATACCCCGTTTTGTGGGCAGACGACTAATTGTTTAAAAGATATTAATAATTAAAGTAAGTTACTACAATACTTACATTGAGAAGTATGACAGACTCACACATAAAACTCGCAATCTAGAGATTCACGGTTCAAATCCTTGATTCCTAATATTTTCTTTTTTTTAAATAATAATTTGTTTCTTTCCGAATAACTATTACATAAAAATTATCAAAAAAAAAAAAAAAAAAAAAGAATTTTGGGAATCAAGGATTTGAACTGAGGACCTTCAGATTGCGAGTCATGGATCCGCTCCGTGGTTAAACACATGACTCGCAATCTGAAGGTCCTCGGTTCAAATCCTTAATTGCCAAATATTTTTTTTTTTTTTTTTTTCGATAATTTTTGTGTAATAGTTATTCAAAAAGAGACAAATTATCATTAAAAAAAAAAAAAATATTAGGAATCAAGGATTTGAACCGTGGATCTCTAGATTGCGCGTTGTATGTGTGAGTCTGTCATACTTCTCAATGTAAGTAGTAACTAACTTTAATTATTAATATCTTTTAAACAATTAGCCGTCTGCCCCCAAAAGGGGGTATAGGCGTGACGAGCTCTACAAGCAGGCAAAGTTTCATTAATAAGTGAGTGTAACAATTGGGTAGTTCTCCTTGTAAGTTGAAATTATTGCAGTCGCTGATGACTTTGTTGCTAATGAAAACTGAGAAATATTAACAGTATCCTAGAGAAATATAGCTATAGAAATACTATGGGAGTATAGCTTTCTTACCGATTGAAAGCCATAAGAAAATGTCACAGTTTCTGCGTGGAACAAAGGAGCCCGCATTTCCGCGTCTCTGAACAGAGCGACAGGCTTAACGATGCGTTCCAAGTGCAACAGCGAGAATTGCATAAGATCGTTGGTCGACTCGTGGAACGTCTGAGAAACGGAGCCGGTGACAGTAATTTCAATTACTGGCTACTGGTGTGTCCGTCTTTTCTTTCTACCACGACGTCCGCGTGTCGTCAATTGACGCAAATTGGGGGAAAGTCGCGTCAAAGAGGAGGCTACATCCGCCATTAGTAGGCCAAAGACCCCGGCTCTCGCTGTTTCTCAAGGGAATTGCATCTGCATCCAAGATGCATCGAAGTCTGCG